TTTTGTATGTGGGATGCCGCCACAGCATGGCTTGATGAGCAGTGTAGGCCTGCGCCTGGGAGCTGAACCCGTGAACCCCAGGCCGCAGAAGCAGAGCACGCGAACTTAACCACTACGCAACCATGCCAGCCCCAAGGCTCAATTTGTAAGGGTGGTTATTTAACGTATTCTTTAAACATACTCATTTCCCCATAATTTTATCAATATGCTGCCCCGACTGAATGTCATTCTTTCCTGTAAGCAGAGTGATTACTTCTCTATATGGTACGATTTGAATGTTACTGAAAAAATCCCTATTTCTTCCTGGCAGCTCCACCTGACACTTTCATCTCCAGAAGTCTTTCTCTAAGGAATTAGATGGTCATAATAAACTACAGTAATAATAATAACAACAACAACATCTAGAGAATTAAACTATAATGAGCTATTAACATCTTTGAATTAATGAGTTTATGAGCCAGAGGTTAAACTGGGCAAATGGGGCAGGAATTTGGAAGGGTCCTTCAAAGTAAACTGGGCTGTCATCAAAGGCCCATCCGAAAGTGCAGGCCCCAATCAGGACAGCATTCACAAGTACCCATGTAGACAGCCAAACGGGTAGGAGTTTGGAGAAACAACCCAAAAAGCATATTATCCTTAATGTGAAAGACAAGGAAATTGAATACAGTAAAGTTTATTAAATAGTACCACAGAAATGTCCCAATATGGCCCAGCTGAAAGTGACTAAAACTGCCTAAGGGTCCACCCTACTACTAAGCTGTAAGGGCTCTATTCTCCCCTTTTAAATATAAAAATTCACTATTTTTAAGCAAAAGGTTAGGTCCCTTCTTCCCATTCTTAAAATTTTCATTTTACTCTTCCATTAAGAGCAACTTCACATGCAAATGAACTCTTAGTTTAACTCAAGATCATTAAACAACTTCTCTACATCTAAAATGCTTCTCCTAAATGTTAGGTATGAGTAATTATTTATCTTACATCACACACGGAAAATAAACAGGAAAGACCCCACTCACATTTGAGAATCATTTACCATTCCCCCAAGATCCCCCAAATGGGAAATGGAAGAACAAGACTGATCATAATTGGATTAAGAACTATAATTCTTTAATTCATTCATCAAATTGAGGCATTTGGAACAGTTTATTTACAGAGTTGTTTAGACAGTTTTGTGTGGTGTTTTTTAAGATAAACCAAAATGCCTTTCTGAAAGAAGTTTCAGATCCCAAATCATTAACATATGAAAACCAAATGTAGACAATTTACAAATGGGTGTTTTAAAACAATGTTTGGAACAAAATTGGACTTTTATTTTATTAACTATCTACAAATCTAAGTTCAGGATATAGAGTATTTGAAACAGCCAAGCACTTTCTTCGCCTTTAAAATAAATCTACATTTCTCAGGCTAAAAAATTGTGACGGGTGTGTGAGGGAATGCATTGACTTCAGGCCTAGACGAATAAGTTTTCCAGGTTGCTCTCAAAACTCTAATTATAGCATTTTCTACCACTGGAGTGATTAGATATTGGATGAATCACCCAGGTTATGCCGATCAATCATATTCAACAGTTTTACCTGATGGAAATCTAAATAATGTTCAACATTAAAGCTCTAAGTTATTTGAAATCCAGTGTATTTTAGATTACTAAAAACAAGTTTTCTCCTGCCTGGTATATTCCTTCTTTATATCATCTGTTCATGCTTTCAAAACAATGATTGCCTATCACTCAGTAAAAGAATGGAGTTTTTTCAAGAAGGCAGTATATTCTTTTAACCATTATATCATATTTTTCATTTGCTTTGTAAGAAAAAAAGTTATTCGAGCATTCAAAATCGTTCTTTTAACTGGAAAATGAAATTTTAAACTGTCCCTATAGCTCATGCCTTCCCCTGAACAAGGACAAAAAAAAAGCTGTCATACCTGAGTATAAATTTCACTCTTGTTATTTACTATTTACTTCACACACTCCACAGATAACATCTTTATAAGCGTATACTCATTTTCTTCTTTTACAAAACCATGTGTCAGTCTAAACAGGATGTGCATTTACATGTATAGAACTAAGTTAACTTGAAATAACCACTGGATCTCAAATGCCTGGTTATTTACCAAATAAGTTTGAGAGTTTTGAATCCTGTATATAACACGCCATTCAACCAGAACTGTTTAAGCTCAACAACAAAACTAATACAGGGTTTCTGTCTTAAGAGTTGTAGCTATTTTTTCCTGTATTAAGAGTTTACTCTTTCAAGTCTATGTTAGATTGGTTCAATACTGTCCATTCCAAAAGGCTACAAAAAGAGATTTTTTAAAACCCACAAACAAACAAAAAACTCTGTTAATTCTTCATGTACTAGGTTGTTAGAAGACCACTGGAAAGAGAGGGAAAAAAAGAAAGAATTTCAAGCGAGTATGCTACTATATAATTAACACAAATAACTAAATAATTATGCACATCCCTTACCACCCCCACAATTAAATGTTTTTAAACAACTCATGTGATGAAAGATCTACCTTTTAGGCAAACAAAAGCAATCCCTACCAGTTTAGGGATTTAAGGCTGTATTGCATCAGTTTAAGTGATGCTATGATTTTTATCTCGTATAGTTCTGAGGAATAAACAGCTGATGACATAATTTGCAGGAAAACTTTGCACAACGCCTAAGAGAACTTTCAGTCTAAGTACTTATGATTTTAAATCATCGTGGCTGAATTTATCTAGGCTTTAGCCTTTGAGCTATATTTAAATCAGGAAGAAGCACCCCCAGAAACTTTGTCCCATGTATCTGCGTTTGAAACCAGATTCCTTCCCTATCAGAGCTAACAGCAGTTCACATACAGCTGAATTCCTTCAAAATTAGACAGATCAAAATTCAGCAGTTCTGTAAAGACTCTAAGAAATCGTCCTCCTTTTAAATTCTATAAAAGTCAAACTTAAAAAACATTTCCGTATACTTTAAAACCATCTGGTCCTTAACCTAATCAGTCTTGGCAATCGGGCCTCACTCCTGTATTCCTGATCAAAAACTCTGCTCTGGTTCTTCTGATTGAAATGTCCATTGCCTACAAATCTCCCACGCGCCTACTTCATTGGCCTGTTTTGTTTGTGTGGTTTTTTTTTTTTTTTTAAGGATACGAGGGGCCATTATTTATGAGCAGCAAGGAAACAAATCACTCTGTCTAGTCCGTTTGCAGATTCCCACAGTTATTACCCAAAATCCCACAGATCTCCCTTGGTCTTGCCCTTCACGACAGAAATGGGCTGAGCCTGAAGGCAGTCTCCGGGGAAATCGGCTCATGCCTTTTTTGACAAAATACTTTGGCTATCTGGATATTGTGAGGATCACTACTGGGAGAGAACAAATCCCTAAACTTTTCTAAGAGGTACAGTTGACTGCCACCCAGAGTGCCTGGGCTGGCTGACACTGAGAATATCGCTCTGCATGTTCACAGAATTCCTCATTTTGACCTGCTTTAGTTAAGAAGGGAAGACATTAAAATGAATTCACATTCCGCGCACTCTGAATTTAGTCAGAGGCCAGCGTCTTTAGATATTCACCAGGGTCAATCTATTTATTAATATATTCGCTTTGCAAAGTGTAAGGAAAATTACTATTAAAATACTTCAACAGTGTTTCGTGTGCATCCGATGCCAGCAGATCAATACTCAAGAAACTGCTGCTATCAAGCGCAAACATTTCCAAATCCAATTTGAGTCCAACTCGTACAACCTCTTTTCCTTGCTTATTACTGTAGCCCCAAAGTGCAAGCAAGAATACCCAAACCCGCGCTTCAAGTGACACAACACGTGAGTGGTCTTCACTTTGTACACTGAGTGGGGTGGGGGAAAAGTCGCTGCAATTAAAATTAAAGCTTCCGGTCTCTGAAATCCCTAGAATCCTGAAGGATGAGACTGGTTTCCGAAATTCCGGGCGGGAGGGAGGGGGAGTGGTAGGAGAGGGATTGCAGAAAGCGAAACAAAAAGAAGAAAAGGGGGAATATTACTCTCGTGGGGTGGGCTGGGGGTCGCGTTTATATTCTAGGCAGGGCAAGGAGCTTTGTCCAACTTTTGGGGTCTGTCGTTTGGCGTTAGCCGAGATGCACAGACGAGCCTAGGATTTTCGCTGCACTCCTGCCCTCAGCTCTCATCACCACCTCCACCGCCACCACTTACAAAACAATACCGGCAACAGCACGCAGGCTCCCCAACAAAAATATAAAGTTATCTCACTGCCTGAAGTGGGTCCAAGCCCGCACTCGACTCGCCCCGGCCAGCCGCCCCCCGAGGATGACAGGGCCACTTCTAGTCCCGAGCCGCCTCCCGCCTCTCCCTCACCCCCAGCCCAGTCCCCCTCCCTCTGTACTTGAGGAAACTCCGGTGGCGGCCCCCTCCCTCCTCAGCCGGCTCTCCAGCTGGAGCCGGGAACGAGTGCTGAGTGGCGGGCCCGGCGAGCGGCAGAGGGGAGCTCTGCGCCTTGGAGGTCTGCCCACAACAACATCGGGACGAACAACAAAGTTAAAACGCTGCGATTCACGCACCTTACCGGGTCTCCTTAATGTCTCCTCTGGCGTGGGATGCAAAGTGGCACAGTGGCGGGCTGGGGGCCCCCGGGAGGAGACTGGAGATGGGTTTTGGTGGCTCGCCTTTTTCACTCTGTGTGTGTGTGTGTGTGTGTGTGTCTGTGTGTGTGTGTGTGTGTCTGTGCGCGCGCGCGTGTCCCTCTCCCCCCGTCTCCCGCTCGCTCGCGCTCCCCGTGTGGCTCTCAAGGACGAGGTGAAATCCCTTTGCTGGTCATGAGGCGGCTTCAGAGACAAACAACACAATGCGAGTGCAAATAACAAAAGGCAAAAAGACAGTAGGAACAATGGGGGAGGCGAGGGCAGCGCACCAGCCGGCGGTCACCGCGGCCCGGCGCCCGCCCCGGGGGGTGCGGCGGAGGCGGGGGCGGGCGCGGGGGCGGCGCCGGGGGCTCCGGCTCCCTCCAGGTCGCCCCTGAGCTCCCGCAAACCCACCCTGACCTCCTTCCTGCAGCTCGCCGCCCGGCTGCCCTCTGTGTCCATCCGAAGGGAAGGAGCCCCAGAGTTTGCTTCCCCGTCTGCTGCAGAGTAACTAGATTGTAAATAACGCGTTGATTACCCACACCGTGCAGGAATGTTAAAAAAAAAAAAAGAAAAGAAAAGAAAGAAAGAAAAGAAAGAAATCTGCCCTCCACTTAAAGGAGCGATAAAATGAAATGGCAGGAAGGGAAGGAGGCAGGGAGAGTGGGATATCTCTAGATCTCGACGGAGCTCGCGTCTATAAATACGCATTCATGTTTAGTCAAGTCCCCTTTGTCAACTTCTTCCCTGCGCTGGAACCTCACCCGCTGCCCTGTAACCATTACCTGGGCCCCTTCTTACCCCCCACCCCTGTTTGCACAGAGTAAAGCTCGCACAGAGGGCGCGCGCGGGGGTCTGCGGGTGTCCGCGGAACCTTCTGGGAGGCGAGCCGCCGTCTGCCCAGCGCGAAGGCTGGAGCAGCAAGAGGTTCGCTTTTTAAAGCGACCACTGCCTCCCCGAGACCGGCTCCGCGCCTGCGGGTCCCCGCCGCCGGCACTTTGCACCCACCTACTCCTGGGGAGGGGGGAAGAAAAGTTTTGGGATGCTCTCATCTCTGCCTCCAGGGTGGTTGAACTGGTTTTGTTTCGTGTGGGTGAAGCCGAAAAACCCAATGCCCAAAAACCAAGCAATGCTGTTTAGGGGGAAAAAGGCTCGGCGCTGGGTTTCGACTCCTTCTGTGCGTCCCTTGAATCGGCGCGTGAAGGCAAGGCAGAGACCCTCAGAGTTGCATCACCATCGGAAGAAACTCCGTAGGTAATGCCCTGAGCAGAAGCTGTGGGGCTGATTTAAGTGTGTGCTCTGACAGCTCCTGGGCTGCACCAGCGCTTATCTTTTCCAATCTTACTTTCATTGACTTAAAACAGCTGCCGGTTTGCTAGGGGGAGAAAAAATCCTATTAAATCTCAAACTAGGGTGGAGCGGCGGGGATCTTAACTGATCTTCCTAGAAGTGGAGTCCAAAAGGAGGCGAGGAGAGAGGTGTCACGAGGGAGGCAGCGGGGATAGAGGAGAGTGATGAAGAAGGGGACTAACAGAAACAACACGGAGCAACATGTTTCTTTTTCTCGCCGTTCCCTCTTTCTTCTCTAGCTTTACGCCGATTTGCATGTTCTCTTCCCTCATCTCGGTGATTTTCTTCAGACGCGCATCTATTGACTGAGGCGCGTCCCTGGGCACCCCCAGCATTTCCCAGAGTGCAACATCACCACCAGGAGATCAATGACCACAGTCTGTTTATTCTTCACGCGCCTGGAAGAGCAGGGCACTGAAGCAGCATGGGAGGTAGGCTCAGGGCTTGCCTGTCTGTGCGATCTGTCTCAGACTTTTTCTGACCGGTTTCTAAACATTAGCTAGTAAGCAAATATAGTTTCTTAAGGCATGAAACACATACCAATCACAATATATTCACCTGAAAAAGTGATACATCCTATCTCCCCCTCTCCACTCTTTGTAGACTTGTTTCTGGAGGTGTATTGCTAATACGTGAGATTTTGCACTTGTCTGGAGTGGAAACTTTCCGGGGTGTTTGCTGATTGATTCTTTGGTATTTGCTTTCTAAAAATGGCTAAACACCTTTCCTTGGAACAAAAGTGAGAAATGCAAATCTTAATAACTCAAAGCAAAAATTTCAAAGTGTAAGCACAGTTATTATCCACTGCCACAAAGACAAGCTTCCTCTTCCACAAATATTTGATAGCATAGAGCCCAGTAATTAAGAGAACAATCAAATAAACTCAGGGCTTTCATGGGAATTTTAAATTATCATCTGCCTGGAATTTATAAGCAGTGTAATCATTTGCCGGCTTGGATCTAGCTCTGGATATGGCATTCTAAATGTGTATCTTTAAACAATTTTACTGTGTTTTCTTAAGTATTTAATGAGAGAGACCAGGATAATAATAATATTCAAATTGCTGGATCCTTGTGGCCTCACTGTGTGAAAAAATTCTCTGCATGTGTGCATGAAACATCTTTCCTGTATGTTACTTTTCCTTACAGTTCCTGTGTCATGCAAGCTTCAAAGCAGAGCCATTTGCGTACTAAGAATGTAAGAATTCATAAGAATTCATCAATAAGTGTACTGTACTTTGAATTTAAGTGTTATTTGGATTCTCAAGAGTTCTTAGCATACCTTCATTGATTTATTCTCATAATCCATCTGGAGTTGCTTTTCACAATTAGTTATTACTGTGTCAGGCCCAGGTCCTTATATAATGTGCAGGAGGCAAATCAGGCCCAACTACAAAAAAAGGGCTCCTCACTACCAGTTATTTGAAAATACAGAACGTTTGAAAAGAGATTGCTGTTAACAGTGACCTTCCCCGAGGTTTTAACCCGTTTCTTTCAGATGATACTCAGTAATAATAAAGGGACAGAGTGAGTCCTTTCCGCCTGGGTCTCTGGCCAGTGGGTGATAAATGTGCCTGATTGGCTTAACCCCACCAAGCAGAGCGGTGCCACCTCCTCAAGGTTTCAGCTTCTACTGCTTCTTCAGTGTCAGCGTCTGGGGTGAGCAGGCTTCCTACTGGCAGCAGAGGCCAGGCTGGGCAGAGGGAGAGCAGAGGCACAATTGCAAGCTACCTGGTGAGATGTTGGTGAAACTTGAATTACACCAACCTCCTCCTTTTTGCTCCTACAGGCAGCAGAACTTCCAACCATTATGGTTATTGAAACCACATGTCCTCAAGACTAACGCAGGATCATTATATAGCAACAGCACAGCTGATCAAAAACTTCCAGTGGGATGTTTGTTTGTGTTGGGCTTAAAAAAATACCCACATTTGAAGTGGGACTGATACATGAAAGATCAGTGTTTCTATTTGTCGAGCATTTACTAGGTACCAGGCTCTTGGCCAAGCACTTTTTTAAATGTATTTCATCTCTCCTTTTCACCACAAACTTGCAAGAAATGTTTACCTCCCTGTCTTGCAGATGAAAAAAGTAAAGCTCAGAAAGGTTAGATGACTTGCCCAAAATCATACAGCTTCTATGTGGTTGTGCTGGGATGTGAATCCAGCCTGCTCCAGCTTTGAGCCTGTGCTCTTCCACCTTCGTGCCACTTACACTTTGTGTTAGGGCCAGTTTTCAACAAGAAATATTATTTCATTAAATGGCTAGATTTAAAACACCAAATTTATACTATGTACAGTCCAGACTGTATGAGCTATGTGGGTACTCTCATTCACATCAGTCATGAGAGAAATGTGAAATTTCCGAGAAGATCTAAATGTGCCATATACGGAGCATGCATATATACTATATATCAAATATAAAAGATACTTAGCAATATATATGAAATTGTCTTATTTTGTAGGCTAAGAATTATATATCATATTGACATATGTATATATCCATATGATGTATATAATAATAATAATTACTCAAGTTTTTGAGTCCCTGCAACTTTACAGGTATTGTTCTTAAGTGCTTTATGTGTATAAGCTCCTTTATTCCTCACAACCACCCCACGAAGTACATAAGTTTATTATATTATTTTACAGATAAGAAAACTGAGGCACAGAGAGGTCATAGAACTTGTCCAAGGTTATACAGTGAGCAGGTGATGGAGCCTGGACTCAAGCAAAAGTAATCTAGCTTTAAGACTCTTAACCACTTTGCTATGCTACCTTTCAATATATATAATGAGACGTATATACAGACATATATTCACGGACAGATATATACTATATATAGCTCTCAAAATATGGGCATATCAACTGGGATTTGTATCAATCTGCATCCCCATATTCTAGCTGCATCCTGAGACAACTAGAAATATTATTGATGGAAGAGGGTTTTACATCTGCCCAAGGTATTCAAGATTCTCTAAAAGGTTTTGAGACGATCTCAATCACCCTAACCTATTTGGAGATATTGAGAGAATGCTAGCAAATATTAGGAGTATATAATATTTCACCTTAGTTGATTTGCACAAAGGTTATTTTGGATTTATTTGGTTATGTATGTTAACAATAGCAGAGACAGGGTGCTCGGGAATCCTAAAGAAGGTAGAGAGGAATAATAATAAACATTAAAAGCTGTGACCTGAGAAGTGGAGAGAAATTTAGGTGATGCAAAAGACCAAATATGTCATGTCATCTTAATGACGATGAATTCTCCATTTTATAAAAAAATTAGGGTAGTTTGTCAACCCACACTCTATTCTCAAGAGTGTATTATAAAAGGATGATTTAAGTTCAGTAATTATGGACTCCATCACTGAGACCACTCAAAGGAACCTTAAAATATTTGATAAGAATCCCAGGTATATGAGTGGTTTATCCCATGTCTATTTTTACCTGTCTCACCAAACATAATATGCATCTCAAATTTTAAAAGTGAGCTTCTCCGAGTCAACCAGCTTTGAGAAAGTATTTTGAGCTTGTCTTCTTTTTCTCTGCTTCTCTCCCTAAATACAATATAAGGGATTATCTGTGTAAGGAAAAATAACTGACAACAATCTTTCTTCTTTGGACGCTCTTAATCCTGATAACTCCTGAGATACTGACATCCAAACTATTAATTTTACTGGGTCTAATGTACCTCTTCAGAAAAACTGAAAAAGACACCCTATACCTAACAGATGCCACACATTAAGTTCTTATTGAAAAAAACTTTTAAAGCCCTATTACAGATACATATGTTTTCATTTAAAAACTACTATGAAATCGAGTGTTCTTTTATTTAAACCTTCCCCTGTGGTTCTACAAATTAAGGCTCGGTAGTACTATATTAACAGCTGAGAGCCAGATCGAGCTGAACTGGTTAAAAACAGTTGGTAAAACTGCCAACACTGGTTTTGTTGCCAAAGCTGACTGAAATGTGAGGCAGCGTATACATTTAAAAGTGAATCCTAATTTTTTGAAACTTTCTCATTTTGGTAAGTATTTAGGATGATTTTTTTTTTTTAATATTTCAGCCATAGTTTTGAAAAGGGGAAATAACGTGTACAACCCAGGTACTTTACACAACCAAAACCACACTGCATTGTTCATATTACTGAACTGTGTTTATTACTCTGATTGGTAAATTTTCCTTTCCTGGGAGTATAACCAGAGAGAACAAGATTGGTTCTATTCAAGTGAAGCAACTTGTGGTCCCCACATCTTGTCTCTTAATTTAGTACTTTTCAATTTGACTTCTGTCCTTTAATTTTAAATAATGAGTATACAAGGTGAGGGGATTTAACTATGTAGTAATAGTTTTTTTCGTATGTGGATTTCTTTCAGGCTTAGCTTTCACAATGTTCTCTGTGTTCTCTACTGCCACAAAATTTGTGTTATAAATATATAGAGGTTTACATACAATGAGATACATTGTCTTTATTTGTAAGGAAAAGGGTAATGACTGATATATTTTTCTGACTTAGAATTGGTAACAAAAATAATTGTCAAGCAAGGCAATAATGTTTTAAGCTTGAGTCCCAGTGAGGCTTAGGTATTTGGGTCTACGCACTCATGATGACTCCTGTTTCTGTTACTTCTTTCAGATTTTTGGTACTATATTGCTAATTGCATTGTATGATATGTGAAATATGGTGGGCAAGTGAAAGAACGAACAAAATGAAAGACTGACAAAAGCACATAAAGCAAAGAGAGTAGCTTCAAAAAATCACTAAAATATGTCCTCTTATTTAAATTCCAGTAAATTATTTGAAGGAGTAAATAAAATTTCAATCTCTAGGTGTCCGGGGCTTCAATGCCTGCACCCCCACCTTCTCATTGATGCTGATGCACTTAAACAAGTTTAGAATTTCATTTATAGGTTGATTTAAAAAAAGAATATGTTAAATTATTGCACTCTAAACTAAACTATTTTGCATACTCAAAATGGCTACTCTCCAGGTAACTTTGCTCCAGGACAGAGTAATCAGTTGGATTACTATCCCAGTGGTCGAATTTGGTCATACTACTTCCGGTTATTTTAACTGCCTCTTTGTGCAATATGTCCATTAATTTTTCAGCTACTTTTATTGTTGCATAAACAAGTAAATGATCAAGCATTTATACAATAAAAAATGTTTTATTTCTATAAGCAGCTTCTGCATGCTGAGTGTTTACCTGGACATAGCTAGAGCCCATGATGTACTTTTCTGCCTTCCTATAGCTGGAAATTACAATATCTAAAGCCTCACAAATTTTTCATTCCAAAAAGAAATGAAAGAAATAGTGAGATGATCTATCCAAAGCCGGATGAAGGACAGTGAACATAACTGAGTGTGGTATTGTTTGTAGAAAAAAAAGAAGAGCTTTAAGATGGTTATCCAGTAATATACACGCTGAAAGGTCTGAGCATGTTGAACTGGCTTGAAAAAGGTAAGAAGAAATCTTCACATTATCATCAGAGGGTCTGAGTCTCTGTGTACAAAACATGAGAGAGTCTGGAATACACAGAAAAATGACAAAACTAACAACCACTGGAGACAGAACCAACAGGGTAGTGATAGAAGAGGAGACAGATGATGGGGGATTGAATAATTTTCCTCATGAATTTTTTAAGTTAAAATTATTGACCAGCTATTCTTCAACTTCAAAGACAATAGAACTAGACACAATATAGAGCACTGGAATTCGAAAACCTGGATTTAAATTCCAGTTTATTAAAAATAAAAGGTGTGAGGAGCTGGCCTGGTGGCATAGTGGTTAAGTCTGCACGCTCTGCTTCAGTGGCAGGTGGGTCACAGGTTCAGATCCCAGGCACGGACCTAGCACTACTCATCAAGCCATGCTGTGGTGGCGTCCCATATAAAATGAAGAAAGATTGGCACAGATGTTAGCTCAAGGCCTCACACACAAAAAAGAAATTAAAAATAAAAATAAAAGGCATGGATCTTTGATACAACTTTAAGTTTAGGTAAGAAAAATGAGATAAAGGGATAAAAGAGCAGGGGAATAAAATGGAACCAGTCGTGAGTTCCCCAAATGCTCATCCCACTTCACAGTTCTGTATCCTTCATTAACATTATTTGTTGAAGACCTCCTTGTGGCAGAGATTGCGCCTGTTTGATTTCAATCTTTTCTTCCCTCTCTAGCAGCCAAGAAGAAAGAAAAAGGGTCCAATTCCATATTTACAGTTGTTAGGGAGAAGCCTAATTATTGTGCACATCAAGACCAAATATAAACTTTTCTTGGGGAGTCTTCTTCTCAAGGAGTAATGTTAGGACATGCTTCCTATTAGCCAAGACAGTAATGCATTTCAGAGGATTGTTTCCTATAGTTCTATTGGGAGAGACTCTCTTCCATGATCTCTCGTGCTCCTATAGATGATACGGAGTAGGCCAAGAATGAAATAGCCTGACCACTCTTTACCCTGGCCATTTCTCAGGGTTATATTTCCAACAAGCACATTTTGAGGGATGAAATGTCTGCCTCCAACACGAAGAGTAGGTTTACTTGCTGCTTGTTATAAAAGCAGGAGATTCTCCAAGCTCAGTGTTCCTCACTGCCATGCAAACCCCGTGCGTGCATAGCATCCAACCCTGACCCATCCTAGGCATGTTGAGTCTTTCTTTCCCTTACGACAACCCTGGGCCATTCTAGTTGTCACTCTAAATGGCAGCCCAGACAAAACTGGGTATAGGGAATTCAGACTTAATTCTGGTTCAGCCACCCAGAATATCTCTTGGGATTGACAAGGTCCCAGATCATTAAGATGATGACCACTTGGTTTAGTACATTGCTGACTGAGCTCCCCTACATAGCCCACATGTGTCAAAATTGGGGACATGGTGGGTCTCTTTAAGTTTTGTTAAAATGCCTTGTCTCGCGTTCACTTCACCCTTCTAGACAGAAGATCTAGCTTCAAGTCAGAGCTTAAAAAGGTGAAGTTATATCTACCAGGGGGGACACACCAATTTCATGGCTATGGAAGGAGAACAACAATCCAGCATTCAGAGAGGAAACAACTTCGACCTGTGGAGGTGCTAAGGGTGCAGTGGGAAACAATTCATGCTCTCCTTGTCTTCTAGATCCAGCACCACAGTCTGGGAAAGCAGTGCAGCTAGAAATCTGACCCACTGTTGGCTCATGATCCCCATCTATGTGCTATGAAAACAGGAAAACTCACGTGGACCTGGCTGGCCCCAAGCTATTCTGCTGTGCCTGATGCCGTCAAAAGCAGCTTCAAATGTGACTACTCTCAAATATGTACAGACAGGTGCATTGACACAACCTTGTTTCATTCTGACTGATACAAATTCATATACTTCTCCCCATGCCCTAGTTTCCTTGGGTTATGTACTGTCAAACATCAAGGCTGCAACTACTTGGTGACACTGCCTATGTGGCCTAAACAAAACAATGTAGTGGTGATCTAAATCAGATGTCATAGTACATCTGTGACTGGAATGACCTAGAACGTGGGCATGATGTTAGAGGTTGGAGCAGCCATTTTGTGACCAAGAGTGACAAATATATACTAAGGACAGCTCAGAAGAAATAAGGAAGTGATTTTGGTTCTAGAAGTGACTAGGAAGTTCCCCAAGATCCCTTGATTGCCTACCTCTGGGTTTCTCATTGTGTGAGACAAATGAAACCTTTATTTTTATGCCACAATTTTGTTGTTTTCTGTTATTTGAAACTGAGTTCAGTTGCTAAGTAAACATTTTTCTTTAGGTCCAGCATTCTTCTCATCTTCTGGAAATTGCTCTCCATTCTCTATATGAACAGGTCTCCCTACCACGTTGGTTTATGGCCCTTTTCTTCCACAGTCCACCTCTTTGGAGACAGGTATAGCTGGGAAGAATAGCCCTTTCTTTCCTCAGGACTCCTTTGTGAGAATTTAAGCCTAGGAACTGCTTTCAGCGATGAATACAAGTTTGTGGTGCCACCCAACCCGAGACAATGAGGTAGACATGCAGAAAGAGGCTAAGAAAGGTTCTGAGGGCATCTGAGGCCGCTATTCCAGCCTGAGGGGTCAGCTGAGCCACCCTAGTTTCTATTGTTCACTTCTTTCGTTCTTCTAATTTTGATTCATGCTAGGATCTTTCCTATAAAGTTTATGAATTTTATCTTGCTCCAGTTGGTTCAAGTTCACCTTCTGTCATATGCAGAGGTATAGTAACTTATATAGGAATTAGAACAAGCTTCCTGTAATAGACTGAATGTTCATGTCCACTCAAAATTCCTATGTTAAAATCCGAACCTCTATGGTGAGAGGATTAGGATGTGGGGCTCTGGGAGGTGATTAGGTCATGAGGATGGAACCCTCATGACCTTACAAGGACATTAAAAAGACTCCAGAGAGCTCTCTCACTCCTTCTGCTATGTGAGAATACAGCAAGACCACTATCTGTGAACCATGCAGCAGGTTCTCATCAGATCAGCCGGCGCCTTGATCTTGGTCTTCGCCACCTCCAGAACTGAGTGAAATAAATGTTTGTTGTTTAAGGCACCCAGCCTATGATATTTTTGTTATATCATCCTGAATGGACTAAGACACTCTTAGATGACCAGCATAGTTTATTCATATCAGACCTGGAACTAATGTCAAGGGAGAAACATTTATGGAGCTCCTACTGTTTGTCAGGTATTATGCTAGGTGCTGTGGATTCAGTGCTAACCAAACAAGATCAGGTCCTGCTCTAACAAATCATGAATTCTCCAGGAGCAAGACAAATGCTCAGAAAGTAAATAACAACAACCAAAAATATCAGAGAGTGCTTTAAAGAAATTAAAAGAATGTACAATGCTAACCACTGACTGAGGGAATTGCTCTGTACTAGGAACTGCTTTTAATTAGGAAAGACCTTCCTAAAATGGTGACTAATGTCACTTTTCTCTCCTAGTTCAAGGTCAGTTCCTGCTTTCTGGGGCACCCTACATCCAGCCATCCTTAGGGGCAAAACTAGTCTTTTCCTCTTTGAGAGTGAAATTCCTAAGGACACAGAATGCAAAACCCTCTGTGCATGTCACTAGGAAACATCAGACCCTTGTGTAAAAACTCCTCCCGGAAGACTGCTTTGCTACACCACTGTTCTAGACAAGCATGCAGATTCAGTGACATCAGAATTCTAGCAGCAGCTGCTTGCCCTCCCTCGTTCACATGTTGTTATAAGGATCAAATGAGACGATGGTTACAAATGTATTTTGCAAGCTTCGAAGATGATCACAAATGCTGTTGGATTATAAAAACAATTTGTCCAAATTAAAGATGCTATGCATTCATGGAAACAATAAAGAGGTTATAGAATATAACCTACAGAACCATCAGTCTGATAAACTAGTAGGTTGGAAAATACTAGCAGCTGGACTAGACAAAACTTTACTATCCTATCAAGTGTCCTACTAATAGCATAAATGTGTTAAACATGAAAACATTTATGTGTGCATGAAAATTTACCATAATTTCAAGAGAAAGGCAATGATATGATTATAAAAAGTGAACTAGACTCAAAGAATTGAATGTAACAAAGAAGCTAAGAAATTATGACATAGAGACTAGGTTTCTTCTCTCTTCTACATGTAAATGGAGAAAACCTGCTTATTAAAAGTTCATGTAAAGACTTTGTAAGATTCAGGCATCCTTTAGAGTTGAATTCCTTGAACTGTGCATTGGTTTGCAGTGGTGTTCGTCATCATTCAATGCCACAGGGTGCCAGGGAGAAGGCTCCCCTAAGGCATTGTCAGAACTTCCAGCCTTGGCCCCTGCTGCAAATGGAGTTTTCGAAATGAGCTTACAAATTATGCAGTTCTGAATCACACAAGACCTATTTCGAAATTGCTCACCCTGTCTTCCGTCCACCACCAATACCTCAGTACCATACAATACTAGCAAAATTGAAAAAGAGAGAATGACTTCCTAGGAAAATGAAGTAAATCATTGAAATCTTTTAAAATATAACGTTTTTATCATTAAGACTAAAAACCTGCTTCTTTTTTTAAATTTCAGAATTTGGCAAGAGACTAGCAAAGAAGAATACTTACTGCCTTTCTCCAGGGGCCTCTTTCTTGTTGGATTGATCTGAAGCAGTTGTCTGTGCTGTGTTACGCTGCCGGCCAGTGGGAAGGGACGTGAGAGCTCAGAGGAACTAATTTAGTGAACTTTGGCCCTAGCACACCCTTAAGATGGCACGTCACCTGGCTAAGCTCCAGTGTGGTCGGGCCTGTATCTCCTACATCTCTACCACAGCTGCAGGTCAAAGTGCAGAAAATTCTAAAACAAAAATCCCAGAAGTGAGAATTCTGTTTTTAAAAAACATTTTTACTTCATTTTTTCTATCTGGAGAATGAGATGGACAACAAACGTGTTAATAAGAAGTGGACATTTACTGAGAATACTTTTTGTGCCAACTATTTACTGTGCTAAGCTGTCATGGATACATTATCTCATTTAATCTCCATAATAATCAAAAAGACAAGCGCTATTCATACTCTATAGCACCAATGAGAAAACTGGAGCACGAAAAGGATATGTAACTTTCCTAAGGTCACACAGCTAATATCTACTTCATAGAGATGCTGGGAGGGGGCTGGCCCGGTGGCCAAGTGGTTAAGTTCGCGCGCTCCGTTTCTGCCGCCCAGGGTTTCGCCAGTTTGGATCCTGGGCATGGACATGGCACTGCTCATCAAGCCATGCTGAGGTGGTGTCCCACATGCCACAACCAGAAGGACTCACAACTAAAAATACACAACTATGTCCCTGGGGGCTTTGGGGAGAAAAAGGAAAAATAAAATCTTTAAAAAAGTTAAAATACTGGGAAGTACAAAAACAACAACAAACCTTGGTATGCATTGATATCCAAAAGAACAGGACCAAATATGCGAAGAAAATTTTAAAGAGTTATTTTATATTTATAAAGATTTTAAAATCTGCTATTATAAATAAACAAAAAGAAATTGAGAGTAGGAATAAATTATTAAATATATTCCAAAAGGATTTCTGGTTTCAGCACTGGCATGTAAAGAGCTTGGAAGTCATCATTCCAAACATCCTTAAGGCAAGCAAATGCTGGGAAAACTGAAATTCAGTGACTTTCTTGGACCATTGGAGAACTGAGGTCACATAGCAACCCATCACACCTGAATCTGGATAGAGGGGCACATCCCAGGAGTCATAGCCAAGATCTGCTTACCTGGATCGGAAGATGCTGGAGCCATAAACTTGTACGAACACTTAAATGGTAATTTTGATGAATTGCTGGAGGCTGTATGTGAACGAGTGTGAGAGTGAGAAACTCCTATCTTAAATAACCCCCACCCCACTCTGGGGGACTTTGCCTACAGGAACCCCACCAGGTTCTCGTGGTGAAGATCCATTGCCTCATGGCTCTGGTGGGGAAAGGAGATAAGTAATCATTGTGAAATAATACACTTGGAGCCTTCTCCATAACAAAGGTTTACTATCCAGGGGAAAAGACTTTACCAGAGCATTATTCCAGTTAGAGGAAGGGCATTGCTCCCACACAGGCCCTCTAGCCTTCTTGTCTCACCTACGAGGGGAAAACATAATCAACAGGTCTTCAAGGAAACAGATGGGGAGCCCTGAAGCCAAGGAAGGGAGTAGGGACCTGGGAGGAAAAGCTATACCACAAGAGAAACACTTGTGAAGGTCATAGCCCAGCCCCAAGACACAGGCCCACTAAAAACCTGAGATTTAATCAGATTATAGAATGTTCCCCCCCCACCCCGCCTCCTTTTTCACCACACTGTAGCAGGGCTTCAGTATAATAACAGTGGATCACAGCTGAGGGAAGTGCAAGACGCAGACTCTCTCTGAGGAGGAGTACTTAAGGAAGCCCAAAGTCAGGAGGGGAGATAACAACAAGGGCACTAGAGGAATTTCAGGCCTCTAGCACCTACAGCTACAGCAAACATAAACCCAGCCTGACTCCTAGCCATGTTAATAGAAATCTTCATGGTAAAACCCTATTTACACCAGTTTCTAATATCTTACACAACATGTCGAGCTTTCAACAAAGAATTACGAGGCATGCCAAAAGACAAGAAGAAACAGTCTGAAGAGAAAAAGCAATCATCATAATCAGACTCAGATATTAGGGATATTGGAATTATCAGACAGGAATTTATACAGCTATGATCAGTATGTTAAGGGCTGTAATGGAAAAAGTAGACAACAAGCAAGAACAGATGGGTAATGGAAGCAGAAATGTGGAAACTTATAAGAAAGAATCAAAAGGAAATGTTAGAAATAATATTGAAGTAATATAATATTGAAGTAATATAATGTTATAATTAATACATGTAAATAATGTTGAAATAATATCAGCCAATGACTTTCTAAAACTAATTATAGACACTGTACTGGGTTGAGTAGTGTCCCACCCTAAATTAATTTCCACCCAGAACCCCAGAATGTGACTTTATTTGGGACTAGAGTCTTGGTGGATGTAATTCATCAAGTGGAGGTCATACTGGAATCGGGTCAGCCCTAAATCCAGTGAATGCTGTCCCTATAAGAAGTCCATGTGAAGACACATACACACACAGAGGGAAAATGGCTATGTGAAGATGGAGGTAAAAATTGGAGTGATGCAGCTACAAGCCAAGGAATGCCAAAGATTGCTGGCAATCACCAGAAGCTGGAAGAAGCAAGAAAGGATTCTTCCCAGAGCCTTCAGAGGGAGCATGGCCCTGCTGACGCCTTGATTTCAGAGAGAATAATTTTCTCTTGTTAATAGCAACCCAGTTTGTGGTGATTTGTATAGAAACTCCAGAAATTTAGTAGACATCAAACCATAAGTCCAGGAAGCACAGATAACACCAAGCAGAATAAATATTTAAAAAAAAAATCTGGGGGTCGGCCCAGTGGTGCAGTGGTTAAGTGCAAATGTTCTACTTCTTGGCCGCCCAGGTGGGGTTCACAGGTTTGGATCCTGGGTGCGGATGTGGCACCACTTGGCACGCCATGCTGTGTTAGGTGTCCATAAAGTAGAGGAAGACGGGCATGGATGTTAGCTCAGGGCCAGTCTTCCTCAGCAAAAAGAGGAGGATTGGCAGCAGTTAGCTCGGGCTAATCCTCCTCCTCAAAAAAAAAAAAAAAAAGCAGATCCACACCTAAGCATACCATATGCAAACTCCAGAAAATCAAAGTCAAAGAGAAAAGTCAGGGCTAATCTTCCTCATCAGAAAGAAGAAAGAAAGAAAGAAAAAAGGGAGAAATAAAGACTTTCCGAGATAAACAAAAACTGAGGAACTCATTGCCAGCAAACTTGACCTCCAAGAAATGTTCAAAGAAATTCTTCAAGCAGAAGGAAGATGATATGAGCCGACCCAGTGGCGCAGTGATTAAGTTCACATGTTTCGCTTCTTGGCGGCCTGGGGTTCGCTGGTTCAGATCCTGGGTGCAGACATGGCACAGCTTGGCAAAAGCCATGCTGTGGTAAGTGTCCCACATATAAAAGTAGAGAAAGATGGGCATGGATGTTAGCTCAGGGCCAGTCTTCCTTGGCAAAAAGAGGAGGATTGGCAGTAGTTAGCTCAGGGCTGATCCTCCTCCTA